TTTTTTTTTGAGAGGTTTTTGCTATAGGGCATGTGCGCTCGCCAGACAGACAGAGAGGAGACAGAAAGTGAGAAATCACCCCCCCAGGGGGGATGGCCACGCTGCAATCCCTTCTCCTCCATTCTCCTCTCGGGATCTTGGACACGCACGCACACGTGCTCGGCATGAGTTTAAGCCACCAGGTCTGGGACTCGAACCGTCGTCAACTACATGGGAGTCCAGTGACATAGCCATTACACTAACTGCTGGTCCCTATTAGTATATGTTTTTGAAAATGTGCTATCGGTCACGTGCACTCTGCAGAGACTCACAGACCGAGAGAGAGAAAGAAAATAAGACAGCAAGCCACCAGGTTCAGGACTCAAACTGTGGTCTGCCATGTGGGAGTCCAGCACCTGAACTACCACGCCACCTGCTGGACCCCATGGCCACCTTTAATAGCAGCAGGAAATGAGGAGGTTAGACTTGGAAAAATAAAACAAAACAAAACTCTGTGCTTGTGCACCTAATAGACACTGCTGAGGAAAGCGTATTACCGGGACTGGCAGATGGTGTAATGGTTACATAGCTGGGTTCCCATGTAGTTGACTGACCACAGTTTGAGTCCTGGACCCAGTGGCTTAAAATTTTTCTACTTTTTTATGAAGAATTATTTAATTTTATTTATTCATTCATTTATTTTAATTTGACCAGAGAGGGACAGAGAAAGTGAGAAAGCAAGCCACCAGGTCCAGGACTTGAACCATGGTTGGCCATGTGGGAGTGTCCAGCACATTAACCACCATGCCACCTGCTTTCCCCCCCAACCCCCTGTGGATTAAAACTTTTGCTGGCCACGTGTACATGCATGCCCAACATCCTGAGAAGAGAATACAGGAGAAGGGATTGCAGAGTGGGCATCCCCCTGGGAACTGATTTCTTGGTTTCTGTCTCTCTGGCGAGTACATGTGCCCTAAATCTCTCTAAAAATAAAAAAGGACAGAGTGTTACCAAGGAGAACCCCAGGAGTTCCTCCTCTGGCGTCTAAGTGGGCTGGAGAGGCAGGCCTAGGGAAGAGGTGCCCTCGAGACATCTCTGAAAGCACCCCATTCGCTCCTCCTGCTTCCCTCGGCTCAGGCTGGCTGGGCCAGGGAGCATCTTGTGCCTCAGGGTCTTCTCTCTTCCTGCTCCTGTGCAGACCTTGTGACTTCCATAGGCCGTGAGGTGGAGGAGGAGGAGCCTAGGTCAGCAGCCAGGGTTGACCCAAAGGCTGGCCCTGCTGCTGGCTTGTGCTTGACACTGGGTTGTCCACCTTCCTCGTGCCTCAGTTTCCTCACCTGTAAAAGAGAGGGTCGAGCTGCAGGACTCGAAGCTCCGTCTAGTTCTCTAAGTCCCGAGTCTCCGAGTACAGCGCTGTGGCCGTTAGCCTTCAGGGTAGTGAGGCCTCTTCTAGGAAGCCCCTGCCAGCCTTGGAGCTGGCCCAAGGGGCTCGGAATCTCATGTCTGCCGTGTTGCTTCACTCTGCCCGCGGCTTTTCTTCCTTCCCCTCCTCCCCCTGCAGCTGCCTCAGCTTCGGAAAAGTTCTGAAGTCATGGAAAGTTGGGGCTGTGCTCTCAGCCAGGGGCTGGGCCGGATGGCAGCCAAAACCTGAGCTGGGTTTTGCCTTTATTTTTAGCTTTTCTGGCCGAGACGGAGGAGGGGAAACATCCTCCAGTTCTGGAAGGGCCTCTTCTTGCTGTTGTGTTAAACAACTTGCCCTGAGGTGTGGCCCGAGGCCTCCATGGAGTCTGCAGGCTGGGGAACTCCCTGCAGGCCTTCAGGTGTCCCCCCCCTTCCTCTGGGTGTCACTCTGTGTCCCTCCCAGCCCAGTGGCAGTGGGGGGATGTCTCCCTGTTTGGAATTGCTTTGGCCGGTGGCAGGAGCGTGTTGCTCAGGTCTCATCCCCTCCCTCCAGAGCGTCCCCACATCAGGCCTCTACCCTGCCCTGCAGTGAATAGTCGGGCTTCTTGGAACTTCAGGCTTTTGTGGTAGGAGAAAAATGTTGGCAGGGCAGCTTTTCTCCATTCCTGGATAGGTTTTCTCCCTCCCTGCCCACGTTTGGTTTTCCCTTTTTCCATCTGCTGTGGTGGGCTTGGGCTTCGGCACTGATGAGTTGCAGCTGGGCCGGCCCCTCAGCTCTTCCCCTCCACTCCCGAGGTTGGTCTACTGTGTTCTCTCACTCTGTTTGTGAAGGGGTTGTAACATCTGCAAAGTTCTTGGGTTCCATAAGACCCCTCTCTTTCTCCACTTCACCAGCAGAAATAATCAGGGGCCCAGAAAGGTGAGGGTGGTGGCAGAGACAACCCCGTCCCATTGGTTCTAGCAAAACTGTGCCCTGTTGGACGAGCAGAGAGAGGCTCAGAGCTGGTCCAGATGGACCCAGGGGCCTGGGAGCCACATCTGAAGCCAGATCTTGAGGCTTGTGGTTGGTGAAAGGGGTTCAGCGGGCTGTGGTGGGCTGGAGGGAGAGAGGCTGCCACCCCTCTGCTCTGCCCAGATCCCTGGGCCAGACTGGGCCTGGTTGTCCTTGTCCCAGAGCTTCCTCAGCTCTAACCAGACATTCCTCCCCCACAGTCCCCCATGTGGAACAGAGACTGGAAGAGGTGACCGACACCTTTGGGGCTCAAATTGAGAAGCAGTAGGGACATGTGGACCCCAGGGCAGGCTGGGAACTTTGGTTCCTGGGAGGGAGGGGAGCTTGGCTGAGCAGAAGGTGGGTGGAGTCCAGGGAGAAGGTTAGGGCCTTGTGTGGGAAGGGGCAGGAGACAAAGGTGCCCCTGTCTCTTTGGGAATTAATGGGAGCAGAGAGAGGGAAAAGCATTCCTATCATGGGATCAAGCTTTGCGCTTAGCCCCAGGCACGTTCCTGAGCCCTGAGTCATGGGAAGAGTGGAGGAGCAGGAAGGGGGTTTTCAGGACCTTGGGGGGCATGGGAGCCCAGCCCCAGAGGCAAGCAGATGCAGGCAAACCCAAGGCAAAGCCGCCCTCTCCTGGTAGCTTGGGGGACAGCAGGGCCGGCCCCAGTGACTGACCTCACAGGAACTTGGCCCTGCTGCAGGTCCCTTCTCTTACACACACTCTTCTCTCTCTTTGTTAGCAACACCAAGAAGGAGGGAGACCTGCTGGCGGCCCAGGCCCGGCTCAAGGACCTGGAGGCTTTGCTCAACTCCAAGGAGGCCGCGCTGAGCACCGCTCTCAGTGAGAAGCGTACTCTGGAAAGCGAGCTGCACGACCTGCGGGGGCAGGTGGCCAAGGTGAGACCACCTTCCAGAGTCCGCTCCCGACCCCGCCTCACACACGCATGCCCACCCGCAGGAGGTGCCTGGTCCGACTTGTCACGCAGTCTCAGAGCTGTTCACGCATCCTGGCATCATGTCACCCGGGGGATCTAGCTCAGCGAATGCACAATTTACAGCCCCCCACGGGCCGTTTCCAGTTGCTTTTGCGATGACTTGCTCCTGGCCCTGGATCCCTCTGGGCTGGCCCTCCTGTAGACAGCTTGTGGCCTGTCTGGAAGGAGGGAGGAGTAGAGAAATGACCCACCAAGGCTATCAGGGGAAGCTGTGGCTAACTGTATGGGATGCGAGTGGATAATGCTTTGCATGTGTCTCATGGCCATGACTTTCAAAGCAGTTTGCTATTTGTCCCCTCTTCATAAACATTTTTTATTATTATTTTATTTAACTTTTTATTTATTTTCATTTGACCAGAGAAGAACAGAGTGAGAGAGTGAGCAAGCGAGAGAAAGTGAAGAAGCAAGCCACTAGGTCCGGGACTCAAACCGTGATTGGCCATGTGGGAGTCCAGCACCCTTAACCTCCACACCACCTGCCAGACCCTTATCCCCTCTTCTTAACTCTTCATGTCACAAGCTAAGGGACAGAATCAAAGAAGCTGACTCAGTCCCAGTCTCACAGTCTCATCTGCTCAGACCATAGCCGGGACTAGAACTGGGGCAAGCTTTCATTCTGGGCACCCTCCTTCCCAGCTCTGCCTCTGCAGTAACCATGGGGGGATCAGGAGAGCCAGCAGCCGAGCATAAACTGAGTGGGGCACTGTGCTCCCAGGCGTCCTGCCTTCAGCTCCATGCCCACTGCGCTGGGCACCAGAGAGCTTTTTCACTGCTGCTGCTGCTACATGGCATGTGCACTCACAGAGAGGGGGTGAGAAGTCCCTCCACATGGGGGATGGCCACACCTGCATCCCTTCTCCTCCATTCTCTTCTTGAGATTTTGGGCACACGCACACCTGGCCTGTTTTTCAGGCTGCCAGGTCTGGAACTCAAACTGCACAGTCAGCCGTGTGGGATCCAGCTGTCTTAACCCCCACACCACCTGCCAGCCTCCACCTGTGCCTCTTAAAACTTCAGGCCAGCCAGGGACATGTTGGTTAAGGGGGCTGGATTCACATGGCTGGCTAACTGAATGGTTTTAGTCTTGAACCTGGTGCCTTAAAAAACGTGCCGGGGGACCAGCAGGTGGCGTTGTGATTAAGGAGCTGGACACTCCCACATGGCCGACCACAGTTCAAGTCCTGAACCTGGTGGCTTGCTTTCTCATTTTCCCTCTGTCCCGCTTTGTCTCTCTCTCTGGTCAAATTAAAATAAATGCATCAATAAGCTTTAAAAAATATTTAAAAAAAGAATGCCAGGCTTTGGGACCAGCAGATGGTATAATGGTTATGTAACTGGACTCCCACGTGGTGGACTGTGGTTCAAGTTCTAGACCCAGTGGCTTAAAACTCATGCCAGGTGTGTGTGCATGTGTGCTCAGGTTCCCGATAGGAGAGTGGAGGAGAAGGGATTGCAATGAGGCCTTCTCTACAAGGGGTGACTTCTCACTTTCTGTCTCTCTGGCAAGCACATATGCCATACAGCAAAAACTAAAAACAAAACATGCCAGACTCATGTGCTTGTGTGCCTAAAATCTTAAGGGGAGGGAGAGATGGAAGAGAAGGGATTGCTCTGTGGCCATCCCTCATGGAGCGTGTTTTCTCATTCCCCACTAGAGTTCCCCCCAAGGCCAGCATACGTGCCCTCTGGCAAATTAAAAAAAAAAAAAAAGAAACTTTAAGTAAGACGCTCCCTTGCTCAAACTTCGTCAGAGGTCCTTTTCATGGCAGATCAGGGGACCTATTCATGATCAGCCCCTGCCTACTGGCCCAGCCACCTTCCATCACTTCTGCCCACCCACACGCCCCCATACCCAGGCATCGGCAGTACTGACCCTCCTGAGGACCCCAGGCATGCATATGCCTCCACTCAGGCGTGCCTTTGCACGGCCTCCGCTCTGTCCCGCAGGCACGGCAGTGCCCTCCCCAGGCCCTGCCAGCCTGTCCCTCAGGCCTGAGCCTCTCAGAGGCCTTCTCAGACTGCCTTCCCCAGCACACTTCAGTTCTCTCCCTCACGTGCCCCTGAACTTCTCACGTGCCTCTGTCATGGGGATTGTGCGTGGTACCCGACGGGGGCCCTGTGGCTATGGGAGGAGGGTGCCTGTGATCTCCCAGCATAGTGCCTACGCAGAGCAGTTGCTGTGAGTGAGTGGATGTCCACACCTTCCTTGGGCCTGTGTCTGCACATACAACAGGGTGTGCTGGGGACAGTCCAGCTCCCAGCTTCCTTGCAGCTCTCACGTCTGGTGACCCCTCTCGCTGACCTCTGCTTGCTCCCTTCCAGCTTGAGGCAGCCCTGGGTGAGGCCAAGAAGCAGCTTCAGGATGAGATGCTGCGGCGGGTGGATGCCGAGAACAGGCTGCAGACCCTGAAGGAGGAACTGGACTTCCAGAAGAACATCTACAGCGAGGTGGGGGCTGCTCCGCAGGCCTGAGGGCTGGCGCTGGGCGGTGACAGTCTTGGGGTTCGGGGACCAGCTGTGTGCGGAGTTCACTGCCCAAGTCCCTGTGCTAGTGGACAGGGAGTGGGGGTGGCTAGAACCCGGCTCCCAGGCTAAAGTGGAGCTGCCAGGGCGGGACAGGGAGCTTGGCCATCTGGGTCTCATCCTCCTCAGAACTAGTTCTGATTCTGGTTTGCGTCCGTGCTCCAACCCCTCCAGGAGCTGCGTGAGACCAAGCGCCGCCATGAAACTCGCCTGGTGGAGATCGATAACGGGAAGCAGCGCGAGTTTGAGAGCCGGCTGGCGGACGCCCTGCAGGAACTGCGGGCCCAGCACGAGGACCAGGTGGAGCAGTACAAGAAGGAGCTGGAGAAGACGTACTCTGCCAAGGTGCTTGCTCTCCCCTACCCCTCGCCGCCTCCACCCCTGCCCCTGCCCACACTGGGCTACTCTGGGAGGATCTGTTGGGTGGTAGCAGGGAACTCAGGGTGTCCAGGACCCCAAGAAGCAGCCACAATGCCATCCTCAGGGCCCTGCCTAGTCCCTCCAGGTCCTGTAATCCTACCCCTGTGTCCTCCCCTCCAGCTGGATAACGCCAGGCAGTCTGCAGAGAGGAACAGCAACCTGGTGGGGGCGGCCCACGAGGAGCTGCAGCAGTCCCGCATCCGCATCGACAGCCTCTCGGCCCAGCTCAGCCAGCTCCAGAAGCAGGTGACACCCGCAGCAGGCCTTCCCCCAGAGGCCGACATCTGCGGATGTAGGCTGGAAGCCTGGGGACTGTTTGAGAAGGGAGGGAGAGAACATGTCCTGGGCCAGACCGAGAGAAGGGGCCCAGCTTTGGGCGTCAGATGGCCTGTCTGCTGTCCCTGTACATCCCTTTGTTCACCTTCGCTTCTCAGAGCCTGGGGTTTCGCCACCTTCCTGATTCAGATTGGCCATAACACTCTGCATGTGAGGTGTTAAAAGCATCAGTATTAGGGCCGGCAGGTGGTGTGGTTATTAAAGTGCTGGACATGGTCAACTGTGGTTCGAGTCCCAGACCTGGTGGCTTTAAGATCACGATGGGCACGTAAGCCCAAGATCCTGAGAGGAGAATAGAGGAGAGGGAATTACAGTGTGGCCATCCCCCGGAGGGTGATTTCTCACTTCCCCCTCTCACTGTCTCTGTATCTCTCTCTGGCCAGCGCATGCACCCTAAAGCAAAAACCTCTTAAAAAAAACTAAGAAAAAAAAAAGAAGCATCAGTATTAGGGCCAGCCCATGGAGCCCAGGAGTTAAGACAGCTGGATCCTGTTTACAGGGCCAACTGCCATGAGTCCTGGACCCAATGGCTTGAAAACAACTCCCAAAAAAGCATGAGTGTTATTCTGGTTGGCTATGCCATTTGTGATAGTAGGACATGGAATGAGAGACTTCAGTTAGATATTGGGAGGACTTCCTGGTCACAGCCAAGACCGTGTTTAGAGCCTGTGATAAGAGGGAAGTGGGTGAGAGCCTGGGCTCCTAAGAGGGAAGCGGGTGCCACCCCCCCACCTTCCCCATGCGGGGCCCCGAGTTCACCGATCCCTGCCTCCCCCCACCAGCTGGCAGCCAAGGAGGCCAAGCTTCGGGACCTGGAGGACTCGCTGGCCCGTGAGCGGGACACCAGCCGGCGGCTGCTGGCAGACAAGGAGCGGGAGATGGCCGAGATGCGGGCAAGGATGCAGCAGCAGCTGGACGAGTACCAGGAGCTGCTGGACATCAAGCTGGCCCTGGATATGGAGATCCACGCCTACCGCAAGCTCCTGGAGGGCGAGGAGGAGAGGTAGGCTGGGGCGGAGGCGCGAGCTGGGGCGTGGCCTGTGCTCCGCCACAGGCCTTGACTAGGTCCCCCGTCCTATCTCCCCATCCCCAGGCTGCGCCTGTCCCCCAGCCCTACCACTCAGCGAAGCCGTGGCCGCGCCTCCTCCCACTCATCGCAGACGCAGGGTGGGGGCAGCGTCACCAAAAAGCGCAAGCTGGAGGCCTCCGAGAGCCGCAGCAGTTTCTCGCAGCACGCGCGCACCAGTGGGCGTGTGGCGGTGGAGGAGGTGGACGAGGAGGGCAAGTTCGTGCGGCTGCGCAACAAGTCCAACGAGGTAGGCTCCGGGCAGGGCCGCAGGGAACATGGAGCTAGGGAGAAAGCCGAACGATGAAGGAAAGGGCTGGGCGCTGAGTGGAGCTGGGTAAAATGACAGACCTGCAGGGCCCACAGGTGGCGTGGGGGTTAAGGCACAGGGCAGACCACGGTTCCAGTCCTGGACCTGGTGGCCTGAAAATCACACTGGGTGTGCGTGTGCGTGCCCAGAATCCTGAGAGAAGAATGCAGAAGGGATTGTGATGTGCTATGGCCATCTACCCTGAGGAGCGACTTTTCACTTCCTGTCTCTGTCTCTCTCTGGCTTTCACACTTGCCCTATGGCAAAATAAATAAATAAAAAATAAAAAGAAAAGAAAGGAAAAAAAATGGCAGAAATACATAGAAAGATTCTGGTTCTCTCTGGACACTCTGAAGTGAGGTGTCCAGATAGAACTTGGTTCTCTCTGGACACTGAAGTGAGGTGTCCAGATAGAACCAGAATCTTTCTATGTAGATCACACGTGCCCCTTATCCAAGGCTGGCTGTGGGCGGTTTGCAGCATCAGAGCCTCTGTTAGCTATTCTGTCTCTCTCTCTCTTTTTTTCCCCATTATTTTAACTTTATTTATTTATTTTTATTTGACCAGAGAGGGACAGAGCGAGAGAGGGAAAGTGAGAAAGCAAGCCAAGCCACCAGGTCTGGGACTTGAACCGTGGTCGGCCATGTGGGAGTCCAGTGCCCTTAACTACCCCGCCTCACTGTTCTGTCTCTCTTACTCATGGAAGAAACACGTGAGATAAAAAGGAGAGGAAACCAAGGCATGAAGTCCTCTCCTCAATGGTGGGCACATCTCATCCACCCTAGTTCTAGTCCTGGCTCCTGGACTCACTGGCTGTGAGACCCTGCGCAAGTTACTTACCCCCTCAGGGCATCAGTGTCCTCGTCCATGAAATGAGAATGAGTAAGAGCCCTTTACTCCCTGAGTTGTTGGGAAGATGAGGTGAAGTGTCAGTACGCCTGGCACAGCCTGTGTCCACAGGTCACAGGGGACAGGGCACTGAGTGGAGACAGAGGCCTCTTGCCTGGGCCCTTAAAAGACATGAATCCAAGAGCCTGAATGAAGCAACCGCCTCCCTCTCCCTTCCCTTCGCAGGACCAGTCCATGGGCAACTGGCAGATCAAGCGGCAGAATGGAGATGACCCCCTGCTGACGTACCGCTTCCCACCGAAGTTCACCCTGAAAGCTGGGCAGGCGGTGACGGTGAGAGGCAGGGTGCTGGGGACACGGAGGTGGCCTTGGATGGGGGTGGGTTGGCCTAAGGACAGTACTGGAGTGATTGCCTTCTCTACCCCCCGCCCCAGATCTGGGCTGCAGGAGCTGGGGCCACCCATAGCCCCCCTACTGACTTGGTGTGGAAGGCGCAGAACACCTGGGGCTGCGGGAGCAGCCTGCGCACGGCTCTCATCAACTCCACAGGGGAAGTGAGTATGCGTCTGGCAGGTGCCCGGCTGGCCAGCATGGGAGCCAATCCAGGGTAGCTCTCCAGAGTCTGGTGCAGACCTCAGACTCACCACCTAGTGCAGAACCCAAAGGTGCCCCGGAGCAGCTCGAGGGGTGGGAGTCAGACAGCGAGGACTGACAAAGTCACACCATCCCCACCCCCCAGACGGCTGGGCAGGGTCCCTCCGGGGCAGGAGCAAGTTCCTTAGCTCCAGCATCACAGAGGCAGAGCCAGCAGCAGGTGGACAAAGGGCAGACCTCAAGAAAGGGCCTGGGGGGCCACCGTGGGCCACCTCTCCTGGCCTGGCCCACTGACCTCCGGGCCTGGTCCTGTGTCCCTGGCAGGAGGTGGCCATGCGCAAGCTGGTGCGCTCCTTGACTGTGGTCGACGACGACGAGGACGAGGATGGAGATGACCTGCTCCATCACCACCAGCACGTGAGTGGCAGGGGCCGCCGTGGCCCCCCCCCCC